CCCCCGTGCCCTTGCAGGTCTCCGAATTCGACCCTTTGACCTTCACCAGCGTCATCGAGTGCGAGAGGCCCAACAACGACCTGAGCCGGTTCCGAGGCTGCATGTGAGTGCCGTCCGTCCCTCTGCCCCCGCCCCTGCCCTTCTGTCTGACGGGCTTCGTATGTGCGCACGGCGGGCCCTGGAGCAGCACGGACTTGGGGTGCCGACCGCCACGCCGTCGAAAATCCTCATATAATTGTGGACTCTGCCGAACACTTCACCAGTAACAGCCAACTGTGGGCCGGAACCTTACCCATAACCCAAACAGTTGATTTACATATTTTTTTAAATATATATTTTTTTATTGATTTCAGGGAGGAAGAGAAGAGAGAGAGAGAAACATCGATGATGAGAGAGAATCAGGGATCGGCTGCCTCCTGCACGCCCCACACTGGGGGAGCCCGTACAAACCCGGGCATGTGCCCTGACGGGGAATCGAACCGTGACCTCCTGGTTCCTAGATCCGACGCTGAGCCACTGAGCCACCCCGGCCGGGCAATAAAAAGATACTTAAAACACAAAACCGCAGTCACAGGCGCTTGAGTCGGTAGAAAAACTGGAGTTGATTTGGAGAAAGGAAAAGCCGTTAGCTGGCGAGAGCATCTCGGAGGCAGTGATGTGTGAAAAATCCCTTGCAGGCCGGTAGGGGGTGGCCGGATCAATTTAAGAGGCGTCCGTTTATAGACGAAACGGCCCATTAGGCATGCACTGTCTACAAGAACGGGGGGAAGGGGGAACCACACGGGGGTCCGGCCCGGATGAATTCCACTGATGTCCTTCCTGAGGGAGACCAAGGATCCCGCTTGCGGACACGTTGCTTCGGGAACGGATTAAAGTCCGAGAACCGAAGAGGATCCGCCGGACACATAGTTCTTCAGGTTCCCCCAAAGCTGCCCGGCCGGCGTGGCTCAGTGGTTGAGCGTCGACCTAGGAACCGGGAGGTCACGGTTCGATTCCCGGCCAAGGGCACAGGCCCAGATGATGGGCTCGATCCCCTGTGGGGGGCGTGCAGGAGGCAGCGGATCCGTGATTCTCTCTTATCATCGATGTTTCTCTCCCTCTCCCTCTCCCTTCCTCTCTGGAATCAATAAAAATATATCTCTTTTTTTTCATTTTTTTTCCTTTATTGAATAAGATATTACAAATGTGTCCTTATCCCCCCAATGTCCCCTCGTCCCCCCAATCCTGCCCTCACCCTCACCCCCTGTTGTCCACATCCATCACTGATGCTTAAATACATGCATACAAGTCCTTCTGTTGATCTTTCCCCCTAAAAATATATCTTAAAAAAAGGTTCCCTAAAGCTCCTTCCCCAAACCTCTGGCTCTGGCGATGCCCCTAGCAGCCCGGTTCCCAGCGAACGCCGACTAGAACCCACGCCGGGTCTTGTAGAATCCACGGAGTCAGGTTGCCCGCCCTCTGGGTCCCTGTTCGCCTCCCCGCCCTGCACCCTGCGCCCTGCCCTCCCCT